GTGAGGAGACGGAGGCATCTCTCTGGAAGGGCTACAAATCCACAGGCACCTGCGGACCCCTGGGGTGGGGGGTGGCAAAGGGCAAAGACCCGAGCGGGTCCAGGACTGGATTCTCTCTATCCCTTCCTTTCCCAATGGGTGTGTATTTGGTACAAGAAATCCAGGGCTTGGCGGGAGGAGGTGGAGAGGGACAAGGGGTTGAGAATGGGTACCAACTGGGATCTCCTAGGAGGCAGGTTATCCAGAGACGTCTGGCGGAGAGGGCTGGGGGAGGGGGATGACGATGAGGAGGAAATAGCCTGATCTATGCCGGGCAGCTGGAGGATGGCACAGCCTGTGAGCCAAAGGTGGGGAGGGTCTGTGTTCTCTGCATCTCTTCTCCAACTTCCGTCCATTTTGTAGCGGAAAATGATGGCCTGCAGGTAGCGGGGGAGGGGGGGAGGAGGTGCTGCAAAGAAGGGAGACAGGTTCAGTCTGGAGACTGGAGCTCCCTGTTGGGGAGGAGTGGCTTCTAAACTAAAGAACACTAACAGGAGATAAGATGAGCCAAATCTACTGAATTTGGAAATAATTTGTCTCTTGCATTGTAGGAAAACGTGGTATTCTGTGTATGTAGAGAGGCAAGGGGTGTCAGGAGTGCTCTGGACGTTTCAGTCCTGCCTCCTGACTCTATCTTCATCATTTTCAGAAACGTGATGGACTTTGTGCTATGTGGGCACCCTGGAGTGGGGGGTTGGGAAGGCAGATACCTGAGCCCAGCAGGATCTGCCTTCTGAACATCACTGTCCTGAACCTCACTCATGTTAGTGCAAAAACAAATGAGATATAAATTTGGGAGGAAGATTCAGAAACATAGTAACTCTTTGGAAATAATTGTTCTCTGCCATTGCCCAGTGGTAGAAAATGGAGGTATTAGGGAGGGGCTGTAAAGGGGGATCTGGGAAGCAAGGAAAAGGATTGGGGGGTGGCATGAGTTGGGAAAGTGTTGACAACTATAGTGTGAAAAGAAACAGCGTTCCAGTTGCCAGTCATTCACTTCTCATTTACCATCTGTCTCTTGTCTCTTTATAGGTCTTCAGGTCGGTAGTTGTAGGCACCAACCCAAACAAGAAAAGGAAAGACCTGCAGTATCAGTGCAGATCAGTGGGAGAAGGTAACTGTCCCAGGACCCCTGGGAGTAGCAGTGACTTAAGCTTGAGCAGAGGTTGGGGAGGACAACCTTCCTCCAAGCCACCCTACTGCAGTCTCAGAATACATGGCCTATGTCAGGACCCTAAGGGAAGGAACATGGTGCTTTATGGCTGGTGAGGACCAAGGGAAGAACAAAGAAGTGAGAGACGAGAGACATGGCATCTGTGAAGCCCCTTGAAGATATTAGAATAGCTCTGAAATCTGAGAACTGGCCATTATCTGTTATATCTGCAGTTCTAAAAGTCTTACAACTGCAGGCAAGGAAAAAAAGAAACTGGCCAGGATTCCTGCAGGTCAGTGTGAGTTGGGGCTACCCATTTAAAATTGTCCTGGGCATTGCTAAGGCCAGAGCAAAGTTGAGGGACAAATCTGCTCTTATACAGTTCTCAGCACACCCCACTTAAATGTAGAGAGAAGCACCTGTGAAAGTTTCTGTAAGGCTGGCTCATGTAAACATGTGGAAGCGGGGAGGAAAGGGAAAAAATGTATAGGTAAGAGTGCACCTGTAATTTGGGTAGGGTAAGGAAAACTCTAAATCATAAAAGCAAATATGTTTAGGACCTATATTATACAACCTAAGTTCTCCTTTTTGTCTCCTAGGACAGGCAAAGGAGGGAGAATCTTAACATGGAAAAGGTCTACAAAGAAAATGAACGAAAGCCAGAAAATGAAGGAAACTTCAAAAATGAGGGAAAGCCAGAAGACGAAGTAGATACAGAAGATGAAGGAAAATCAGATGAGGAAGAAAAGCTGGAAGTGAAGGGAAAGCCAGGGCATGAGGGAAAGCTCCAGAATGAGGGACAGCCAGATGATGAGGGACAACCAGAAGACGAGAAAAAGCAAGAAAAGCAGGGCAAGTCTGAAAATGAGGGAAAACCACACAGTGAGGGCAAGCCAGAATCCCTGGCAAAGGCTGAGAGTGAGTCGCGGGCTGCCGAAAAGCGCCCAGCTGAAGATTATGTGCCTAGGAAAGCAAAAAGAAAAACGGACAGGGGGACAGACGATTCCCCCAAGGACTATCAGGAGGACTTACAGGAAAGGCACTTGGGCAGTGAGGAGATGATGAGAGAATGTGGAGATGTGTCAAGGGCTCAGGAAGAGCTAAGGAAAAAACAGAAAATGGGTGGTTTTCATTGGATGCAAAGAGATGTACAGGATCCCTTTGCCCCAAGGGGGCAACGGGGTGTCAGAGGAATGAGGGGTGGAGGTAGGGGTCAGAAGGACTTAGAAGATGTCCCATATGTTTAATGCCTTTGGCCTTCAATTCTGATTTCTCTAGTGAGAATATTGCTGACCCTGCTTTCCCTGGTAGGCATTTGCCGGGCTATGTGCTTTAACCTTATGCTGATACTTTGCTTTAGGTGTCACTCTCGGTTACCAGCAGCCTTCACCCAACTGCAGCACTCTGTCTTTAAGTAGGGAACTTTCACCCATGTGCATGGTAAATATGTTCATGGTACATTGTAAAATAATAATAAAAAAAAAAGTTTTCAGAACCGCATATACAGCATCAGCCCATTTTTGAAAAAAAAAATAGTTACATAATACATCCATGAGTAGGGAAAACTATGAGTGTATCAAAAGAGAAATGGTAGCTTTCTCTGTGTAGTGGCAATGGAAGAGATTATCTTCTCTCATCTGCTTTTTTCCTGAAAAAAAAAATAGATTACTTTTACTATAAAATAAATAATAAAAGATGTAAAAATGGGAAAACACATACAAAGAAATCAAAATAACAGTTCAGTGAGTTTATGAGCGCAGTGGAGACACTTAAAATTACTTTGGCAGGATGTGAATGATGTGTTAAATTCACATTCCCTCTGGGACTCAAAAATGGAGGAATTAACCTGAGAGTTATTACAGATCCATTTCTGTAACAGTCTCATCATCTGTGAAATGGGGATAAAACTTCTCTTCCAGGGCTGTGGAGAAGATCAGATGAGGTACTGAGTATGTGAGCTGTATTGAGTTGACTCCTACCCTCTGACCTGCAGTAACAGAAACAGAACTCTGTTTGGGGGAGGGCTGAAGGAAGTCTCACTTGTGTTCAGGAATAAGTCCTGGAAGCTAAGAGGTGGGTGCCACTTTACCTTGAGTAATACTATGTTTGATGTGCACTGTGCTTCTTCTCATGGGTCCTGCACTCCCCTAAGGGCCTCACTGCTGCTAGTGGGTTGGAATCCTCAAGGTAACAAAACCTTTTTGATTTCCAGAGAGTCTCTGCTGAGTTGAATCCTCACTATGTTCCCTGCTAAACTGTGGAGAAAGTCCCTCTTTCCATGTTATACTGTAGTTTTAACACTGACAAGAAATGTGGGAAAATGCTTTGTAAATTTTTAATTAATATACTTTTCAGACATTATAATTACCCCATTAGACTTGCCCTTTTCAAAACAAAGAATTCATCTTACTGATTTTGGTACCCACAACATATAATAGAAGTTTTTTTTAAAAAAAAGCCAGTACATTATCAAGTCAGAATGCCTCAATTCTTGCTCCAGTTCTGTCTCTGATTGAATATGTAAGCCTGAGCACATAATTTCATTTTTTAGCAACTGAAACTTAACACTCCAAAAGGAACACAGCAGTACAGGGATTATATCACAATTCATTGGTAAATGATTTTAACATTGGATACAGTAGTAGTCTCAAATTTTGCTAGGTGCCAGCAGACTACCTGCATTAAAATCATCTAGCTACCTTGTCAAAAATTCACAATCCTGGCACATCCAATATAGAAGAATCACTTTTGGCTTGTCCTCACAATGTCGGTGTGTGTGTCTTTTGTTCTTAGCTCATTTTTATCAAATGGATACCTGTAAATTTTTTTAATCCAATAGTGCAAAAAATTTATTATTAAAAATCTCAGTCTGCCTTGACATTCCACATTCTCATCCTCCAAAGGCAACTACCATAAACGTTTTTGGTTTCTTCTAGTATTTATCTCCATACTTCTGAATAATATACTTACGCTGCAATTTCTTTTTTTATAAACAGTTGCATTGAAATGTAATTCACATACCACAACATTCACCCTTAATTTTAAAGTGTACAATTTATTGGTTTTTAGTATATTAGCAGAGTTCTGAAACCATCACCACTATTAGTTCCAGGATATTTTCATCACCCTGAAAAGAACTTTATACACATTAGCATATAATGGTGTTCCCATTCTCTTCTCCCCCAGCTCCTGGCAAACAATGATCTACTTTGTCTCTACAGATTTGCATATTCTAGACATCTCATATCTATGGAATCATACAATATATGACTCCTTTCAAGTAGCATGAAGTTTTTAAGTTTCATCCATATAGTAGCATGTATCAGTACTAAAAATTCATGTACATGGGATTTTTTGCCTTTTAAAATAAACTTCATTGAGAAGACAAAATATGATATTTACAAGTACAGAAATTATGGTTCTGTCTTAGCTTATTATGTAGATAACCTCAGTGCATGCTAATGATTATGTCCAAAGTTGCATTAACTTCATTTAAATGCTTTGATTCCTTTTATGAAGAGGTACTCTAAATTTAATGTACTTGTTTCTTGTCTGTTTTAAAGTAAACACAGGTGTGTAGTATGTGATACACTACTTATTCATTTCTGCTGAAAGAACCAAAAATGTTTTTCCATTCTTTTTTTACTTGAAATCTTTCAATTTATTGAAATATAATTTACATGCATTGCTATATGTTTAAGATGTACAGCATGTGGATTGATTTACATATTCATAAATTACCACAATAATTAGTTGTATACCCATCATCTCATATAGATATGATAAAAAACAAAACAAAACAAAACAAAACACCCGTTGGGAGAGGGGCCTGGAGCAGCACCACCTGTGTGGTGCAATGGTGTTGCGTGGAAGTTTCATGTAGGCTGAGTTTTGAGTGGATGCACGACTGTATGAGTGTACGAGTGGGCCATGCAAGGTGAGTGTGTGCCCCATCCCTGAGCCCTTGCCCTCCCCCACACTTTGATAGTATTTGATCAAGGTGTGACCCTACCCCTGAGGAGCTGACCTGAGATGAAAAGCTTCCCTCCCAAGAAGTCCCCTCCTCTGTGCAGGGATCTCCCTCCTCAAAAAAGGAAATAAAAAGAAAAGAAATGAAAAAGAAAAAAAATATGGTGATGAGAACTATTAGGATTTACTTTCAACAACTTTCATATATATTATACAGTAATGTCAACTTTTTGCATTTAAATATGTGTTTTATTTCCTTGAGTATATACCTAGGAGTGGAATTGCTATGCTATGTGGTAATTCTATGTACAACTTTTTGAGGAACTGCCAAACTGTTTCCTAAAGCAACTGTGGCATTTGACAGTCCCATCCAGATCCTGTGTTCAAGTGTTCCAACTTCTCTGCATCCTTGCTAACACTTGTCATTGCCTGCATTTTTTATTTTGGCCATCTTAGTATAAAGTGGAATCCATTGTGGTCTTGATTTGCATTTTCCTAATGGCTAATGATGTTGAGCATATTTTCATGTGTGTATTGTTCATTTGTATATCCTCTTTGGAGAAATGTCTATTTAAATCCTTTACCCATTTTAAAATTGGGTTGGTTGCCTTTTTATTGTCAAGTTTTGAGTTCTTTCTTGATCTTGGCTACAATTCTCTTATCAGATATATGACTTGTAACAGCTATTTTCTAACTTATTAACTTAGTCATTATCCACTGGCTTTCTGATACCATAATTGAGTAGTTCTCTCTTCTCATCACAATCTCCATATCTATTGCCTATCTCCTAATATAGCTTTATCACATCTAATGTGTATTGTAACAAGCCTTTAGTGATTCTGTTGTTTAACTCTGAGGACCATTTGTTCATTTGTCAGGTTAAGCTAAGCTTATTCTAGGGTAGCTACCAACCCCAAAACATCAGTGGCCTACCACAACAAAGGTTTATTTTTGAAACTTCATGAGGATTGGGTATGGACAGGTTCTGCTCCCTCTAGTTTCCCAGAGATCCAGACTAATCATGATACCACTGCAACAGAGGAAAGCATACATGGAGATCTCACACTCATTTTTCCACACCGTGGTCTAGAAGTGATATAAATCACTGCTGTTCACAGCCCATTTTTTTTCATATTTCTAACTCTTCAATTCTGGCAAACAATTCTGAGAAAGGTGTTATTATGCCTTCCATATAGGTGACTTAATTGAGGCTCATAGAGTGTAAGTGATTTATGCAAAGTCACATACTGGTAAGGGGAAGGGCCAATATTGGAACTTGGGTTTACTTGGCTCTAAGGCGATGATGCTTAACTAGTTTGCTTTCTTAAATACAAGGATTTGAATTTTATTTTCACCCTATTGACCAACCAATCCTTTAAGATGTCAGAATAGTGGTAATGTTTTTTTCAGATGACAGATCTAAAGAGCAAGGCTCACAATGGCATTGCTTCCTCCACTATTAATGCCTTTAAAAGACATTTAATGCCAATTCACGGCTCGATTGCCTTAGCCTCCAAGTCATGGGCTCTTCCTATAGTACATGTAGGTATTCAGACAGGTGGTAACACCTGTTTTCTCCTGAGTTGGAAGATCACATTCTTTCTTAAGCTCCCTTTGCCTGGAATCTCTTATACATTTGGGCCTGGGATGACTCAAACATTAGAAGTACTGCACTAGGCAGATACAGAACTGATGTCACTACAAAACCACCAAAACAGGCCCAGGCACAATCAAGGCCTTTCTGGGAGTCGGAGCAAGGTTGGCTGGAGTAATTGTCCTAACTTCATCCCCATGCCTATTATTGTTCTGGGGGATATTTCAATAGACTCTGAAAGAAGGGTTCAACATGTCTACTTCAAAACTCAAATTATCTGTTCAAATCCAGGTTTTAACTGGCTCTTAAAGGGAGCAATGCTTTAAAGTTTTATGGTAAGGAGTTTAATTTCCATCCCTACAAAATTCTCCTTCATACTTCAAAAGTGAAAAGGACAGAGAAAACAAACAAACAATAAAGCTTTATGACTAACAATGAAGAGTTTCTGTCATTGGAGACTATGGAACCTATTACCTGTTCCTTTTAGCCAACAAAGAATGACCTATGTTGCTAAGGATAGTCATATAAGAGATAGCTACTTTGCTTCTACCTCACAATCTTCCCAACCCATAAATACTTTTGGGATAAGAAAATAAATGTTCCTGAGAATAGATATCAACTCCCTGTCCACTGCAAGCCACTAGAGCAAAAGAGTTTGTACTTCTTATGGGAACCAAAAGGAACCTTAAATCAAGTGTTATTTAATTTGTAAAATGAACAAGACAATTTTTGGTTTCTTCCCCAAATGGAGAGCTAAAAAGAATAGCACTCACACTACAACAGGAAATAAAGTTGTATAAATGGCAAAATAACAATTTTTCTTAAAACTCTCAGAGAACTGAGTTCACAGGGCAAACAATTATCACAAAATCTAGAGAGAGACTTGTGGAGGGAGAAATAGGACCTGAGTATCTGCTTATCTGGGATAGACACTACCAAACAGCATGTAGACCAGTAAGAAAATTTGGCTTGAAAATGCTAATGACTTTCTAAAGACTGAGTGAGGGCTAGCACGAGTGTGTGAAGTCCCCGAGGGCTGCAGATATAAAGGGCTTACATTCAGGTTTTATTCCAAAAACTTCAAGTGTTCCTAGGGACGATCAGGGAGAATCTGAGAAAGCTTGCTCCAAAGTGCCAGCTAAGAGACTGAGACAGCAGTCACTGATGAAATTCCAACCAGACTAAACTCCCCTGATAAACAAAAGACTTAATCATGCAGGAAGAAAGACAACAGAACCCAGATCTTGAAGACACAAGTAGAACCCCACAGCAGTTGAGGAAAGGAAACGGAAAAACAAAAAGCTCTATGAGGGGAGGGAGCAGGCATGTGTGCTAGGTTCAGCATTGTATCTGAAGGAGAGGCATGAATACATGCAAAGGTTACATCACTAAAACTCAGGTTCACAGTGCTTACCTAAGATGAAGACCTTATCAGAACATCAGAGAATGCCTGTCCCTCTCTCTGCAACACGCACTAACAACCACTGAGTAAAAATAACAGTGGAGGACAGCAAGAAACATTCTTTCTCAGAAGAGCAAAAGAAAACTGCAAAGCCAATTGGAAAGACTCAAAGCCAATGGGAAGAAAACATCAAACTAAGCCCAACTTCTAACTAGATTAAACTTCCATACTAAAAACTTAGCAGGAAGGACATGTTCATCTTCAGTCATAAACTCTATTTACCTCAGTAATTACTATCTTACCAAGTTTTCAGGTAATATTATGAGAAATACAAAGACAAGAAAAGAAAACATTCTGAAGAGACAAAACAATAATGAGAACCAGAATCAAATATGACATGGGTCTTGAAACTATCAGACAGGGAATTTAAAATAACTGTGGTTGGTGTTCCACTTCTGGCATGGTAATGTGAGGAACTCTGAGGATCCATTCCCCGGTAAAATTGCTGAAAGTTATTTTTTAATATAACCATTTGAATTCTTTCAAAATTATCATAAGGGTATACAGGAAATAGAAAAAAAAATGATACATTTCTTTAAAAAATCTAAAACAATAAGAACAATGAGAATCTGTGACATTTGAACCAAGACTTTCTCCATCCTTATACCTTCCCAGCTCAGCATAATGGAAATTATACTCCAAAAGGGTACAGCCAAGAGCACAGTTCCCTTCTCACCTCAGCTCACATCTGAAGGGTCATTTTATCTTTCTAGGAGAGAAGGAACTTCTTATACTGCTTTGAGTTAATCTGTTGCTCAGACTATAAGTTTTAGGTGAGTGTAGCCAAAAGGTGAGGGCTCCCTTCTGCCCAGGCCCAATTTATCAGAAAGAAGCTCTCCCTTCAGCACAGTGTGCTAAGAATACTGGGCCCCCAGTTCCCTGGGACAGGCAAGTCAAGAAGACTTGATGGTACTTAATCCCCATTCAAGTGCACAGGTACTAAAGCAGGAGCGTCACTCAAAGAGAATTGTGCCACTGTGCCCATCCCTAGCTCCAGAGCCTTGTATCAGAGGTTTGTTTTTTTGTTTGTTTGTTTTTTTTTTTTTTCTATTGGGAGAGGCAGGTTTTGAAGCGGAGAGCTCCAATCCCTTTCCAAAGCACTGTCACACAGTGTGGAGAGGTTGAAGTTTGAAAGCATGATAAGAAATGAAGATTGTGGTCAAATGCAATTAAGAGGAGGTCAGTAGATTAGAGATGTAACTTAACATTATGCCAGCTAGTTTATCAGAGGATTAGAAAAAGAGACAGATAAGTAGATTCTTATTGGGATCAAAACAAACATCAAACAATGACATCAAAAACTATGTCTGAAAAGGAGCCAAAATTTCATACCATAAATCTGTGAAGCAATTTATGGCTTAGAGCAGTTTCAAAAACAATATAGCAATAGGGCACCTGGGTTTCTCAGTTGGTTAAGCATCTGACTTTGGCTCAGGTCATGATCTCCAGGTTCATGAGTTTGAGCCCCACATTGGGCTCTCTGCTGTCAGCACAGAGCCTGCTTCAGATCCTCTGTCTCCCTCTCTCGGCCCCTCCCCTGCTCTCTCACTCAAAATAAATAAATAAATAAACATTAAAAAAATTAAAAACAGGGGTGCCTGGGTGGTTCAGTCAGTTAAGCATCTGACCTCAGCTCAGGTCATGATCTCATGGTTCATGAGTTCAAACCTCGCATTGGGTTCTGTGCTGACAGCTCGAAGCCTGGAGCTTGCTTCGGATTCTGTCTCTCTCTGTCTCTCTCTCTCTGTCTCTGCCCCTCCCCCACTTGCACTCTCTCTCAAAAATAAATGAAACATATTTTTTTTAATTAAAAACAAAAGAAAAAGAACAGAACAATCAGCCAGCTATTAGTGGAGCTTAACAGCTAAGTATTTTCAGGGAAAAAGACAGTGAAGAGAACTGACAAAACCATTGTCATACAACAGTGACTGTGGGCATACCCAATTCTGTGCCCTCTCAGGAACAACGAAAGGGTCTTTACATAGCTGGGAAGAAATGGACATGACTAAAATAGCCAGCCACTAAACAAACAAGCAAACAACAACAA